GAAAATAACCGCGGTTAGTACACGGAGCGACCTGGCAGGGAAGGCGGACAACACGCATACAAACGTGGGGCATTTCAGCAGACAAATGGAAGGGCTTTTTAAAATCCAATGGAAATGCTAAAAATTCTCAAATTTTAATTTAAATCTTTTCATATTTATTCCTATATTACCAGCTATGATTCTGGCATTTTGGACACCGCACAAATGGACCTGGACGCTCTCTCAAGGACCCTTAGTATTATTTTCTGAATCAAACCAGAAATTCCTTCTTTAAAAGTCCGCCTCTGCACCACTAACTTCAGCAAAAACAAACAGTGTGTAATACGCTTTTAGTCTAGCTCATTCCACGACCTCCCAGAGCAATGGCCAGACTGCCAACGGACAGATGGGCCACGGCTCCAGCAGCAGCGCCAGTCCCACCCGAGGCTGACAGGGAGGCCGCCGAACAAGGGGGCGCCCCCCAGCACATCCGGCGCCGCGCTCTCATCCCTGCGACGAAGGCAGTGTTCCCACAGCAGACCACCCGAAACCGGCACGTCACACGGAAGGTGGATGAACCACGGGAGCTGTAATAAACTATGATAAACCCTCTATCAGATGCTCCTATTGTAAACCGTAACAATGAGTTTCTCAGCAAAAGTAGCAATAAGGAAGTAAAAGAGAACCCAGATGACATTTCTCTTGGAGCATTAACTCCCAAAGCTAACTGCTACTACAATTACTACTATGACGGTACGGACATTTCTTCCTCATTTACTTCTAAAATAAGACTTTCCTCACTGTCTTAAACAGTAACCTGGATGGAAAGTCCAGCCTCTGTATCCTGGATTCCTTTAGCTTATCCACACAATAATGAGGTAAGTCTAGGTTCTGGTCCTGGGTCTTAAACCCACTAGCCGGTGACACGGAGCAGTCACAAGGGGTCCAAGGATTAGTACTTCACACAGAAAACATCCAGAGGTCAGGACTAGGATGGCTTCGCACTTTCCCATGCACCTCATCTCACAAACGCTTGGCAAAAACTACCACTTAACCCTATTTGCTTATTTTTTAAAGTAAACTTTTTCCTTACCTTTTCCAATTTAAGGATATAACTGTCTCAAAACAAAAGTTTATTTTAAAAGAATACAACTTCTAATTGTACTGTGTTCACTGTGGCAATAAACTACTGCAAATAAGTGTTATTTACTTAAGTGATCTGACTCTCCTGCTCACCACCGACTCCATTTTCTGAGGTCAGGACGTGGTCTGACCTGAACAAGTAAGATGGTTCTAGTAATCTCAGCTGTAAAACTAAACATGCTAAGCCCTGGCTGGCGTAGCTCAGTGGATTGAGCGCGAGCTGCGAACCAATGCATCACAGGTTTGATTCCCAGTCAGGGCACATGGCTGGGCTGCAGGCCACAGCTTCCAGCAACCGCACATTGATGTCTCTCTCTCTTTCTCCCTCCATTCCCTCTCTAAAAATAAATAAATAAAATCTTTAAAAAAAACTAAATGTGCTTTTTATCAACGAGCGGGTGCTTTCATCAGCTCCCTCTCTGGGACCCGGCATCATGTGAGGCCCGGTGGGGAGAAAGCACCGTCCCGCCTTCCTCGGACGACAGTGAACGTACAGGGCACCTCACTGACAGCCTCTCTGAGCCAAGAACAACTAACTCTGCCACAGCAGTTGCTTTAAGTCCCAGCATGGATTAATACACAGATCTCCAAATAACTTACGAAGAAAACATTTCAGAAGAACACACACGTGAAGACTTACCAGTTGGCAACAATATTTATTTTACTTGAAATATATGTAAAAAGGATGACAGGCAACTTTCTTATTATCTAGAATCTCCCTCACTCTAGCAAGGAGTAAATACCATATTTGGGGGAATGAAAGCTTTCTTTTTTTAATGCTGTGTGGTTCAACAGGTATAGATATAAGCGCCTTTTAAAAAAACCAGAAACTTCCAAATGACCGGGTAACAAGACAAGCTGAGTTATGCTGCCACCCACCGGACAAAACACAAATAGCACAGCAGCGCCTGCTCTGACTTGAAACCTCAAGACAATCTGGCTCAGCCTGTTGTTGGCAAATCGGCAGCGTCTCTGAAGAATCAGTCAAAGTTAAGTAATATTAACCGACTATGGTTTATTTTCTATTAATTCCCATTATTAACTGGTTTTAGAGTCAAATTATATGTAACTCAAGATGTATTCAGCTTAAAAGATGTCAAAATACTTTAGTAAACACTGCAACATCTTCCTTTCCCCCGTCTCTGCAGTCTCCTCCTCTGGACCCGGAACTCAGGGTGGTATCACTGGTGCTATTCCTAACACTTGAGTGTTGGGGTCCGGCCTGGGAAGCACATCTGGTTGAACACCGCTTACTGGGGGTACTGCACAGTGTTAAGTTCCAAACCAATGTCAAAGAAAGTTTACTAATGGTTTCCTATTTGGCAGAAGTAAAAATATACCCTCAACTTTATAAAATGAATTAACATATACAATAAAATTATCAACACTACTTAGGGAGAGAATGTCTCGCAACTGCTCCAGTGAATTCCAAATTCAGATGGACACAAAAATAACCAAAATGTGGAAGTGCCACTTGAGACCGTTTTAAGAGTAAAGGATGTTAGTTATGTTCATCAAATTCAATGATCCAAAATGGTAGTGGGGCAAAACAGGAAGGTCTAATCCCGTCATTCAAATGCTCACTGTGCTGAACTACGGACTACAGCAGCAACACAAATAAAGCGACACGGCAGCAAGGAAGAGAGAGTGACTAACTGAGCCTGTGGGGAATAACAGCGTTAAAGGCTGGGCGAGCCCACCAGACAGGCAGGACGCCCCTCTACAGGAAGGGAAGAGAGGACAGAAACAGTGGCAAGAGAAACCGAGAGAGAGAACACGAGAAGATGAAAAGGCAATGCATGTAAGGGTCTTGATTGTTATACATTCAGCCTCCATGTGTCTTTTTACTGGAGCATTTGATCCATTTGCATTTAAAACAATTATTGATAGATATGTATTTATTACCATTTTATTATACACATTTTTATCTTTTTTCTTTTTCTTACTAAGAGCCTTTAACATTTCTTGTCATACTGTTTTGGTGGTGATGAACTCCTTTAGTTTTTTGTCTGGGAAGCTCTTTATCTGTCCTTTGATTCTAAATGATAGCTTTGCTGGGTAGAGTAACCTTGGTTGCAGTCCTTGCTTTTCATCACTTTGAATATTTGTCAATCCCTCCTGGCCTGCAAAGTTTCTGCGGAAAAATCACCTGACAGTGATTTTTCTCTTGCTGCTTTTAAGATTCTCTTTGTCTTTTACTCTTGGCATTTTATTTACGGTGCGTCTTGGTGTGGTCCTCTTAGGGGTCACCTTGGCTAGGACTCCCTGTGCTTCCCAGACTTGTCCAGAGACAGGAAAGGAGACCATACGCACTCCACAACAAGGATGTCAAGGCTCCTCGCACTCTGAACTGAGCGAGATAGTGTAACAGTGTTTTGTTTTTTAAATGTATACAAGAGACTCACTTCAGGTCAAAAGGTACATACAGACTGAAAGTAAAGAAATGGAAAAAGATATTTTACAAAAATGGGAACAAACAAAAAGCTAAGACAGCAATACTTACAGACTGAGAAACAAAATAAACCAGCGGAACAGAGACTCACAGACACAGAGGACATGTTGGCAGCTGCCAGGTGGGAGGGCAGCTGCGGGTACGGGTGGAAAAACCAGGGGACTAGAAGCACAAACTGGCAGTTACAGGATAGTCGTGGGAACGTGAAGTACAGCACAGGAAATACAGCCAGTGATATTGTAGTAAGTACGTACCATAATAATATCATAACAACTAAGTATGGTGTCAGAGGGGTACTAGATATATCGGGGTGATCACTCTGTTAAGTTATATAATGTCTAATACTGGGGTGTGCACCTGAAACTATATAATATTGTATGTCAACTATCATTTAAAACACAAAATTATTTAAAGTAAAAAAAGGATCAGTAAGTAAATCATTCGGAGCCACGACGCACAGGTCTCGGGTCTCATCTGCGACTCACGCACAATGCCCCGGCCCCACGCACAGTTCATGAGTGAGACTCGGTATCAGCGGCAAAGAGATGAAGGAAACGTTTTACACTAACAGCAGGAGAAGCATGTATTTGGCTACAATAAACAATACTCCGGAAGTTTTTTCTCATCTACTCAGTGCAACAACAGTTCAGAGTAAGTGAGACCAGAAACCTCGGCACTCGGGCTGGTGAGGAATGAACTCCCAGCACTCGCCGGAACGGGCTGTTTCAGAGCGGCCGGAGCACCTCCCGGCGGGCGGCGGGGTGGGCCTTGGCAGGCTCCTGCCGGGGGACTCTCCTGTTCCCCTACGCACCCAGACCTCAGACGGGATCTGACCCCGGCGTAAAAATGGCCCCTGACCTTCAAGCACTGGAATTGTGACCAGGGCAGAGAAGGGGCGCTGTGAAGACCAAGAGGCCACGTGTTCCCCTAAACAAAGTATTTTCCCCACTGTTCCCGGGGCTGCGCAGCCGGGACGACATTCACCTGCAGAGGGCTCATTGACAAAAATGCTGACTTCGGTTGTTTGCAGTGGCGACTTTTAGGGCCTGCCAGGTAAACTGCTCCTCAACGATCATCTTTTAAAAGTCCCAGGAAAAGAATTAAAATATACACACTTATATTACAAATACCACCAAATACTAAGTTAACAGAAAAAAATGAGATTTTTAAATAAAAGAAATATTCACCCACTAATAAATGAACCAAAGTCTAAAATATAGGCAACATAAAATTTTCCACAATTTATGTCAAAATTTTAAAATAATCTATCAACAAATATTAGCTGATTTGGTCACTATCCATCTAGAAAATGTTTATAAATTCACATCATACTCAAATTAACAGGCTTCCAAAGATATACTACACAGGCCAATTTCAACCAGTCAGAAAATCCCAAGGAAGCAAAAGGCAGCGATCAGTTCTTTACCTGCAGCTCCTTTGAGACTCTCTCTAAGTGATTAGTAATCTTTTTAATCAGATCACTGTACATCTGTTCCGAGTGCTGCTGGCATACACATTTATACACACAACTGTTGGGGGGAGAACACAGAAAAACCAAGTTAATGATGAAGCACTTAGGTCGGCCGAGAGCTAAAGCACACTCTGGATACACAGCCACTGGTCAAATAAATGACCAACTCGGGCCTAGAAACAGTGACCGATCGCAACTTCGAACAGATTTCCCCTGCCCCCACCAGCGTTCCCTCGAGAGAAGTATCACGAGCAGCAACAAATCATCTTTGTCAGTACTCTAATATACACTTTATCTCAGTACTGAACAATAATCTGAGAGTCCACGGTCACTCCTTAACAACCAGACTCTCTCATTTTAATGAGCGTCAAAATCAGGAAGAGGGAGTGGCAACGGGGAAGTTTCTCAAGTTTCTAACTCCCCCGAACCTCCGCAGTGTAACCTCTCCACGCCTCTCGCGTGGACCGACCCAGGCGGCACTTCCTCCTCCCGTGGCCGGGCTAACCTCACACCCCACCCCAGGCCCTCGCCAGGGCGCTGCTCCCACTTGCCAGGAGCCGGGCGAGCAAACCACCAGAGGCAGAGCTGTGTGTCGATGCACACGAGAGAGCGAGCGAGGGCCTCCCGGAGACTAACCACACCCACTTTTGCCACCAGCCATCGCTTCTGCATCGCTTACAGCACAGGGGAAGGCTGAAGCGGAGGAAGTCTGGTGGAGTGGAATTAACTCTACCTCGACCAGGACACCAATCTGAAGCAGAACGTGTGAATCGAACTCCCAGCCCACAAGTGTGTGACACACAGACAGCTTCTGTGTTACACGCCGTAACACACACACGCTGCCGTTATTCAAACCGCCATGGACCCCGACACCCCTTCAACCCCGGCAAACGAAACCCGCACCCACCTGTAAATCTGTTCGTAGGAGATGGGGATATAGTCTCCAGGACTCTGGGTCAAAAGCTGATCTATGGCACCATCCAATTTTGGCCAGTATGTGCTCTTATAGTCTTCGATAGTTATAACATTCATCACTAAAAGTCAAAAGCAAGATAAGAATTACCACTGTAGCATGTAAACAGAAGCCATAGCAATTCCGTGCCCTCCGTCAAATTCCTTTTTGATTTCACATTGACGGTCCATCACCTAAATACAACTCAATTACTAACCCACTTCCAACTTAATAAAAAAAAATTAACAATCTGGTCAGGGGGTTTAAGCAACCATTAACTTGATTTTAAAAGGAATTCCTATGAGCCTGTCCAGCTTTGAAAATAAAAACCGAACAAGCAAATGTCACTGGTTTTCCTTTCCTGGTTTCTGTGAGCTTCTGCTGTCGAGGAGCTTCTCGAACCCGCACTGACCCTCACACTCGCGTTGCCAACGATGTACAGAGGTGGCCTACCCGAACCGCGATCAGGTTCTGGGGCACCTGGGAAGATCCACCTGCGCACAGCACTCTGCAAATGGAAGTCCAAGGACTACAGCAACCAAAGAAGTTGCTAGAGACCTGCAGAGACTTGTGGCGCCACCAGTAACCCCCAGGCATTGCTACAGCTCTGACTGCGGACTCTATCTTTACCTCACACTTTGGAAAAGTCCAAAGGAGGGAGAAAAAAAAACCCCGTTGATGAACTGCAGCCGTGCAGGGGAAGGCTTACCTCATTCCCACTGGCTGGCTCATTCCTGGCCTCCAGGTTTAATGAAGCATTCCTAACAGCTGCTCCTAACAACGCTCGAATCCAGGGGTGACAACTATTTCACAACAACGAAATGAAGCTAATGTTAAAAAGAACTACTCAAAGCACCTAAGGCACTGCATGTCCTAGGAACCTCCACTTCCTCACGAGATCAGAGCTTACAACGACTAGATCCAGTGTTTCTCTTCACCAGGCACCGGGGAGCAGATAGCTGACCTCCCTAGAAGTTCGTGGCTAATTATTGGCAGAGGTACCAGGTAAAACAAAGCCTTTATCTAGAGTCCTTCTATCACATTGGTGATTTCCAAACCTTAATCATTCAGGTTCAAGATGTTTCTGTACCACCTGTATTATTTGTGTTGAATATTTTCTTTCAAACAATCCAGTTTTTTTTTAAATAAATTTACTTTGAAGGACACGAGAAATGAACTACTGATTCACACAACATGGAATAATCTTTAACGTGTTTTGCTAAGTGAAAGAATCAGACCAAAAAGGCTGCATACTGTAAGATTCTCACTTTCATGACACTAGCAAAGGCCACACTACACAGAGGAAGACAGGGCAGTGGTTGCCGGGGGCTGGGAGGTGAGAAGGTCTATCTACCAAGGGGTGACACAGAGAAACGTTTAGGACAGTGAACTGATGTGCATGGACACACCACCCCATTTGTCAAAACCAAGACTTACACACCATAAATTTACTGTATGAAAATTTTAAAAAATTAACCAGGACGCAGTGGTGAAAGTGAAATACAAACTGTGATGAATCTCATCTACAAATGAGTCACACAACCTGGACCGAAGGGAAGGGGGAAGAACAGCTGGATGCACGAGAGGCTAAAAACAAAACGAACTGTGCCTGGGTGAGCTCACATGCATGCACGCGCGCGCACACACACACACACGCACACGCACACACACGGCAGACAGAGGCCACACTGCAGGGCCTTGCGGAACACTGTGACGACTCTGGCTTTACACTGAGTAAAGGGGAGGCTTTGAGGAGAGCAGGGACCTGATCTGACTCCGGCTTCCTGCGGACCATTCCAGGAGCTGGGTCAGGAGTAAATGAAGTTAGGAGGCTGTGAGGTGATGGGTGCTGGGGCCAGACGGTGGCAGTGAACGCCAAGAAGAGCCAATGAGATTTGCTGATGGCTTGAATGTGGGATGTGGGAGAAGGGTTCAAGGATGACACCAATGGTTTTGGCCTGAGCACCAAAGGATGGGGCTGCTGTTTCAGATGATGAGGATACGGGAGACACCTAGCATGTCTGAGAGTGATGGGCCCCTAGCAGACAAGGGGGGACCCCCGAAAAACTGGAACGGTCTTTGGGAGGGTGGGCCCCTTGCGGTACAGGCTTCCCCCGCTAAGGGAGTGTTCTAGGAGCCCATCTGCACCAGTGTAACCAGCTGGCGTTGCTGTGAGAGGCTGCATTCAGCTTCAGTAAATTTTTTTTAAGACCCTTGCAACGCACATGCCCATTTCACGAGCGGCGATCCCGAAGCGCACCTGCCCACGCCGCCCCTGCGTGCTCGGCAGTGTCTGACTGCAAACTGCACGACCCCCGTGACCCACCTTCCCCACGCTCCAATTCTGGCCGGTGACTGTTTTTTGTTGTTTCTCCTGGATGAAAAACATCCTCAAAGGGAAACATTCTGCCGATGTGGAAGAGGGGAAACAAAAAAAACGGCAGAAACACTGAAAGGCATCAAAACTGACAAGTTCAAAAACCATCTGGAGCAGCGGAAAAAACATTTTGATAGGTGTATTGCATCAAATGGAGAGTACTTTGAAGGTGGCTGAAGTTTAAACATATGAGTAAAGACACCATTTTTTATAATAAACTCAGGGTGTTTTTGGTTCCCCCTCAGAAATTGTGGGCACAAAGGCCACTGTCAACACCTACCATTACCTGCCTCAGTGTCCTCTCTGGCTGCCAGTGCCGCTCCGCCTGAAGAACGACACTCCGAGACCCGCCTGTAAGTGCTGACTAGTGAGAAACCCGGTGTGAACGCCCCGGCGTCTCCTTTGCTCTCGGTGAGGTGCGTGGACTCCCAGAGTTCCTGGCGAGAACCAGGTGTCACCTGCTCACCGTGGTGACTTCTTTACCGGCTCCCTGCCTTTCCTGACTTTCTCACGTCTCCACTCCCCAACAGGTGCTTCCTAGATTCGCCCCCTGCGCTTAAAGCGACTTGCACTTGAAAAAAAAAAAAAAAAAGGAATCTATAGAAAATGGAAAAGCAGTGTCATCTGCCATCAAAGAAAAGGCAACACAGAAATAAACATACAAAGCTACCAAAGCGTAGCCGTGCGCCCCTGCGGTCAAGGCTCTGAGCCCGAGGCCGGCATCCCCCCCTGAGAGGGAGGCCGACAGGGGCTGGAAGCACTACACGTCGGCTCCAAAACACCAGCTCTCTGCTTGCGGAGGGCTCAAAGAGAATTAAAAAATAAAAAACCTTAACAACAAAATCACTTCTCCTACTGTGTGACTCTAGGCTATGGAAGCCCCTAATCAGCGATCCCCTAAACCACACCCTTATCCCTGCTCTACACCAAAAGTTGAGACTTAAGTAAGTGACATGCTCAGCAAGAAAACTTCAAGTCCCCGAACGGCGAGAATTAACATACCAATCCCATGGGCGCCTCAACTGCTTCGTTCAACAAACGACACCTCCGGAGCAAGGGGGGACACTTCCACTTCTCAAGCACAGGCTTCCCGCCCCCCCAGCAGACCCCCAAACTGAAGACATGAAGGAGGGAAAAGAGCCTGAAGTGTAGGACCTGCAGCCCTGAGTACAGCACTGTGCCCACAACAGCAACAGTGATCACCAGCGCCTCCGGGTGTCTTTCCCAAGCCGCTGTTCTGACGCTCTGGCTTTCACGGCAAAGCCCTTCTCCCCACCAGAAAAGCTACCTTCGTTTAGAACTGACTCCTTAAGAACCCCAGAATGGCATTATGAAACAAATGACTGAGCCAAATTCAGCAGGCTAAAATATGTCTTAAACGTAGTGGCTCTTTAGATTAAATATAATTAACCACAACTAGATAACGTGACAGAATGGAGGAGGAGGGAGGGAAGAAAGCTCTGGCCTTCCCACTTAACGCTGGCTGGCCAATGGGACGGGAGAGAAGGACCGGACGTCTGCGGCCACAGCGCGCTCGCCTGCCCACAGCACCCTAGTGTGGCTGGGGGGCAGGAACACGCCCGCCTGGTCCAACGTTCTGCTTCCTCGCGCACGAGGGGATGGCTGGACTCTCTCCAGGAGCAGATAGAGAGAAGCCGAAGACCAAAAACAAAGCCGACGGGAGGGCACTTTTCTAAAAGCCTGCCTCTGGGAATAAAGGAAAGGACTGGTCAGATGGACGAGGAGGATCAGAAGCAGAGCAAGGTATGAGAGTGTAAGAAGCAAATGGGATTTTTTCATCTTTACTTAGAAAACAAAAAAGAAAGTCCCAGTTATTTATTTTTCTCAAAAGTAAAATAACTTGATACTAGCAAAGGAGAAAGTATCACTTACTTGTTCCTAAAAGAACTGCCCATATTGTTTTTAAAGAAAAAGTCAAATATTTATTCAAATACTTTAACTATTCTTTTCCTTATTAGGAGACCAAAAAAATAACAAATAAAAAAACACCCTGCACCACCTACTCAGGTATATTTTGTTTTCCCCTAGAAGAGAGCAGCTAGTGTTACTCCTGATGAAGCCTATCTGCTTCTCAAGTAGGCTAAAACCTTTTAAAAGGTGCATGCTTTAGGTGTCTCTCTTACTGCTTGGAAATCCACACACCTCTCAATCTGAGAAAATGCAACAGAATGGCAGAAACTTCCTTCACCACACTATCGGTGACAGTGCAACTCACACACATTCTTCAGAAGAGCTACCGCACAACCCTCACAATCGCCACGTCACACCCGAGCCTGCGCGTGGCTTCTAAGACAAAGATGCTATGACAGCATGTATATGAAAAGGTCAACAGCTATCAAAATGTCCATTAGGGCTCCAACTCCGACTAACCCAAAACTTCACAACATTCACATAGAAAGTATCTGCTCAACTGAGATTACATAGGGGTAAGCCACGCTAACTGCAGGTTTGCCATAGTTTTAAAATTCTGTCATTTCCTGCGAAGTATAAAAACACATTCATCTTCCCACTGCACGAAGACCAGGGAAGTCCAGAGCAGCAGCCTAAGGCAGTGCGCCGAGGTGGACACACCGCTAGGGGCGCTGACCGGGGCGCCCTGCGGGCCTCTGAGACGTTCAGGACTTGAGGACAGGACACAGGAACGTGGGCTGGAGGCCAGGGCGGGGGGTGGGAGGTGAAGACTG